TACCCTTGTGAGGCCATAGACCCCTGAGGAGAAACTACTACCACCACTTTCTTTTTGGTTGATCTTATTTTTTGTTTCGTTCTTTGTTTGTTTGTTTGTTTGTTTTGGTTTTCAAGACAAGGTTTCTTTATAGCTTTGTGGCCTGCTTTGGAACTAGCTCTTGTAGACCAGGCTGGTCTCGAACTCACAGAGGTCCTCCTGCCTCTGCTTCCCGCGTGCCTGGACTAAAGAAGTGTGCCACAACCTCCTGGCTATCAGCACTTTCTTAAAGCACTGTAATTTCTAATTATATTCTAAACATTTATCCTTATATCTCTTATATCTAAGTGTAACTGTCATCCTTCATCAAAGAAGCTTCCTTTTACAGCAAAGATATTGGTAAAGAATTTGGAATATATTTAAATGTAGAGGTCAACAGAGCTGATTGTGGCAACCCAGACTCAAATCATACATTCACAATACAATCCTTACACTTAAGGCTCAGGAAACAGCATGGAAGAGGGTGAGCAACCTCTTTTTTAGAGTAATAGGACTGGAGATATATGCAGTGAGATTGGTTCTTCCAAGGAAGGAAGAAAAGGATAAATAAATAGGACATAAAATGTAGGGAGAAGTGGGAAGAGTGGGGAGTACAAGCAATGAAGACATATAGAAAAAAATCTCAAAAATCATTAAAAACATTATATTATTTACAAAGAATGTTCTTCTAAGAAAAAAAATCTGACATTTGAGAAATAGCAATAAATGTTTATATTCCATCAAAATTTCAGGATACAATAGTGATCAGTTGTCAGTTAGTCTGAATATGTGTAAGAGAAGTGAGACTACTGCTTTAAGGTTATTCCAATATTTGGTTAAATTTGTCAATTTCATAATAGAAGTAAATTTAATTTTACATTATTCTAGTTAACAAAAAAGACTAAAAAAACCCATTGCTCAATAGAAATGTCTAGTCCTTTCTCTAGGCTTTATTAACTGGTAGGAAAAAATATTTTGCATGTGACATGTTCGTGAGAATGAACAAACACACATCTAACTCTGTTCATGGAGGTCGCAGGCCAATCTCAGGTGGAATATCTTGAACCGAGAAACAGAACCAGTTTTTTGGTTTTTTAAAGAAAGGTCCTCTCACTAAACTATTTGGTCATTGAGTCCTAGAGATCTACTTGTTTCTACATATCCAGCATTGGAATTACTAACTGGCATCATTATACTAGAACATTCACATAACGGTTAGAACCTGAACTCATGTCCTCATCCTTGCCTGGAGAGGAATTTTTTGACTAAGTCATTTTCTCAGCCCATGGAATCAAAGTTAACTAAGCAAGCAGAGTGAAGAGATAACTCAGTAATTAAAGTATAAATTGCTTCTCATAGTATAGTGTAGTGATAACTAGGACTTGGATTTGACTTTCAAAATACATGTTAAAAAACAAGCATTGATGTTTGCATTTGTATCTGCAGGAATGCAGCGGAGAGCTTAGAAGGATCCCAGGAGCTCACTGAATATCCTGCCTAGCATAGATGGTCTTCACCTTCATGAATGCACAGTCCTCTCTCATTAATATACACACACTTGAAAGAGCTAAGTGTTGTAACAGAAGAAAAGGAAAACATAACTTCTGTCTTCATTTTATTTTTTCTGGGAACTATTTAAACAGTAAAAGATTCTCTCTCTCTCTCTCTCTCTCTCTCTCTCTCTCTATATATATATATATATATATATATATATATACATATATATACACACATATATATACAACAAAATGTTCTATGTTGGGAGTTTCTAAAGTCATGTGACTTCTCTACCATATATATATGCATATGAATATGTATGTGTATTATATATATGTACACACATATATGTTTTATATTCATACATAGGCATATGTGTTTGTATATATGTATACACACATATATATACAGTTTCATAAATAATTATAGACGGAATCTAAATGGGCCCTCAATCTTTTATCACCTGCAGTAACAGAATAAAGAGAGGCATCCATTGGGGTGCTACTCCAGACTCCACTTCAGCTTCAATCAGAAAAATCGCAAGAGTTAGTTGCACTTATGTCTCATTATCTGTGTGCTGCAGGTTGAGAATAATTGCTGAATAAATTAGCATCAGATCAGAGAGCATGAAATTAAGGACACAAATAAAGTGAGTCGCAACATGGTAAATTGAAAACAAGTTGAAGACTTCCGAAGTTGAACATCAAGGGCTGCATTTAGAGAAGGGAAATACACTTTCAACTCACACAGATCACAAAGTTGAAACCAAAGACATATTTTCAGCTTTTACATTTGCTTTCCTTATATGTAGCCTTCCTTTGGGTAGCAACATCAAGCAGAATATTTCATTAAGAGAATGAAAATTGAAAACTATCCTCTCCACTGCAATGCCATTCTTTTTAGAGTAGAGCTAACATAATCTGCATATGATCATGTGTTTACTTTGGCATTAACACCTAATAATAAGGGTTCCAAGCACATAAAATATATGAGAAATTCGCCTGTGTTATTGTAGGAAGTTGTCTCAGTTAAGTTCCTCAGTACGCAGTTCCATAAAGATGTTCTGTAATAAATCAAGGTTATATAAATGAATATATCTTTAAAAATAGGGACATTGCTTACTACTCTGAAACACATTTAATACATAAAAATATGTGCTTACTCACTAGTACAATTTTTGATGATACATTTACTCAACGACATATATAAATAACATCATAAGTTAATCTCTAGGACTGTCCTTTAAGGTAGATAGCATTCCCATTTCTTTGTGTCAGTAAGGCTCAAGATATTTAAATAAAGTAGCTGTGCAATGGCATAGATTCAGATAAAATAGGTTGACTTAAATACTCAGTGCATGAACTGTCCTTTCCTAGGACAACTCACTGTTTGCCTAGGGAGCTGGAAACTGTGTGCCAATATGAGAAAGTTAACTAAAATATTTCAATAAGAGTTTTGGACCAAATAAGAGAACATTCCTAGGGAGCTGGAAACTGTGTGCCAATATGAGAAAGTTAACTAAAATATTTCAATAAGAGTTTTGGACCAAATAAGAGAACATTCTAGATTGTTGCAAACATCTTCAGAGCACTGGAAAGGCCAGGAGATGACTCTGAGGCAACTTTAGGAGTTATTGTGGGATATAATTTGTGGAATTTGACCAGGACTTTGAAGGAATTGTAAAGGCAATAAATGTGAGGTGTATATTTCAGAAGCTCTATAGTGAGAGCAAAATATAAAGTATATGTCCTTTCATATAAATTATGAAAGAATTTTCATAGTTATGCTTTGACTGACATTTTTCTCTGTGACAGGAAAACTTGGGTCTCCAAGAAGGCACACATCAGCTCTGCTAAAATGCTGTTGGGAGCAGTGGGACTCCAGATCCTGTATTTCTTGTAATCCCCTGATCTGAGTGCCTACAGCTGCTCTGAGCACGAGACCTTCAGGAGTTCCTGATGGCAGGAGAGTGGTTTCTGGTGGGTTTGGGTGGGGCGTGGCTACCTCTATATAATCTGCCCCTGAACACAATAAAGGGGACATTTTTGGGGAATTCAAGGATGACCCGTGTTGTTCTCTCTCTCTCTCTCTCTCTCTCTCTCTCTCTCTCTCTCTCTCTCTCTCTCTCTCTCTCTCTGTATTTTAACCCCCAGCCCCCTTGCCCGAAGCTCGGTAACTGGGTGCCCTCGCACAGAGCGCAGACACGGGGGCGGGGTGGTCGGCACAATGCCACCTGTGCACTGATAGGGCAAGGCCAGCTGAACCGGGTCATGAGAATCCTACAGAAAGCTGAAGGCAGGGAGTTTTTAAAGCTTTCTGTAACTACAGTGTGAGATACATAACTTTAGATAATCTCTAAAAATCCCATTTAATATTTGTGGAATTATTAAATGGGAGTTACGATAGCAGTGAGAATTTTTGAAAATGTATCTTGCTGCTCATTGGGCATATGTCCATTCCCATTAAGAAATTTAAATGGTTTTTATATTTTAAATGTTATCATTTTTATCACACAGATGGATGAAGGTACCTCAGAATGTATCTGTGAAGATACTTTGAGTTAAATCAGATAAAACTCAAAATGGGTGTTGTCCAAGTCAATGCTCAATGAGTACATAGCCACTTTACTTGTATCACTGTGTTTATTTGATTATTAGTTCAATTGTTTCATACTTTATATACATACTTTCTGAGTGTGTGTGAGCACGTGTGCATGCATGTGAATACCATCTCAAATAAAGATAATTGAGCGGGTTATGCTGAACAATAAATGCAAGCTAAGTGACTTAGGACAAAACAGCTTGTAGGAAAATCATTTCTGGACCAGTAGAGGACCAGTTAAATTGAGTAACTGATGATTTAGTAAAGTATTTGACATCCTTCATAAAAAGGTATAGTACAAAAATACATTCATAAAATGTTAACTATTTAAATGGCATGCAAAACCTTGGTATTTCTGAATAAAAGGTGAATTTCCTGTAACTAAGAACTAATTAATCCTTATGGATTTTTTTGAGGCTGTTGATGAGAACAGTTAATTACCAGTAGCACAAAACTTAACAAATTAAAAAAAATACATAATCAGGACCTGAAAGATGACTTCTTGCTGAAGGCTAGGCTCACAACTAAAACAAAATTACATAAATATCCAGAAGTAAATAATTTTATCTAATTTTTTTGTTGTTTTACTGGTTACAGTTTTGGTTTATTCTCTGGCAGTGAATTCATGGTAAATGAATGCACAACTTATAAAATAAAACTTGGGTTTACTACAGATTATCTTAAATAAAAATCTACTAAAGTTTAAGGAAATTTTCACCATTTGAGAAATTAATATTTTAGTTTGTTCAGTTCTTTTAGTGTAGAGACAATGACAATTTAAACAGATACTCATTATGTGTATCACACACACATGCACACACCCATGCACATACCTGCACACACACGCACAAACACACACACACTGTGTCTCTGTATGTACTCACTTTTGGTCACAACACCTTCTAGATGGATGATGTTCGGATGATCAAACTGTCCCATGATACTTGCTTCACCCAGGAAATCTCTGCGCTGCTTCTCAGTATACCCTACTTTAAGAGTTTTGATAGCCACAGGTAATTCTCTTTTTCCTGGTAGTTTCAAACGCCCGCTACAAACTTCACCAAATTCACCTTGTGATAAAGATTTAAAAAAATACTGTATAAACTCATTTAGAATTCTTATTATAATAAAATTCTGAAGTCTTGAAGCATTAAGGTTCAGATGGAAGAAAATAAACTAAGGGTGAGACCAAACATCCACAGTAGTATTAACAAAAATAAATGTTATATTGGGAAATATCCTCCGCAGATGACCCCCCCCCCAAAAAAAAAAAAAAACACTTTAGGCCTTACTAGCTTCATCATTTAACCCGTACAATCCAAATAGCAATATTAGGAAGAATTTTTTAAAAAAAAAATACTGACTTTAATCCATTTTGTTTTACTTCTCTCATAGTCTATCAATACCTACTACTGATGAGAAAAAATAAAAGGGAAAAGGGCAGAGATCAGCTGGGTTATGTAAAGACATGTTCAAGTTGAATTGAACAAAGCAAATTCTTTCCAGGATTACAGCTGTGCTGTACACATACACAATACTACATGGGCAAAGATTATTCACTGGGTTTCTCTGCTAAGAGAAGGTAGTCAGCTGCTCCTTTGTGAACTACACAGAAGTTTCAATTAAAAGGTGATCAGTCACAACTAACTTTGAGAGGTCCATTTCAAGAGGTTAAGAATACATGGTGTGAGGTCAGTACATGGATGTCTTAGTATAAACAAAGTTGAAAGGTCAGAATGTGGCTGTCCTCTCACCTGCTCCAATGACTCTCTCAATGGTGATGCATGAAGCTTCGATCTCCTTAGCAAATTCGTGGACAGCTTGATTGGGATCTTCATAGGTGTGCGGATCAATGTAGGTTCTGACCCCCGGCAGTTTAACTGTAACGATACGTGGACATTAATGGAGCAGAGGGGAAGTGTTTACTCACGCACCAACTTTGTCAATACTCTAGTGTGACTGAATTTTCTTACTTCTAAAAGGAGTTGAGTTGCTTTTTTTTTTTACTTACGACAGTTATGTACATAGCTATTTTACTTTTATAACTTATAAATATGGACGGTCCCCTACACAAGAAATGTGTATATGCTTGGCATGACTTTATAATCATCTTTCAAGATACTGTTCAGACAGAGAGACTCAGATGCATATTGAGAACACTTTGATGATTGAAGAAGGATAAATATAGTGGCCTCTTTTTTGATTTGGTCTATAGGCTCATTTTTAGATATTGCAATAGATTCTTAATTCTGACTTTAAAGAACATGTAAAACAACTTCTTGTGGTGCTGGAATAAAAATTAAAAAGAAAACAGAACTACTTTTCACTCCATGTCTATTCCAAGAGATCCATTTATCATTTTAGTCCAAGTTACTGATAATCATCCCAGGATTGCACTTTAAAGAAGGATAACCGACACATAGGACTAGGAAGTGGTCTTGCTTCTCATCAAATTATATATGGTCTCAATAGACGGACTAAAGCCAAAGATATCTGCCTTCACTCAGTTTTTAAATTGACTCATGTTGTATACGCTAACTATCACGATTAAAGCACACTTATTCCTTAAGGGTATTATTGAAACTGGATTTAATGCATTTATTGAAATATATGGTCCTTTTCAGGTCATCTCAAGCAAGGCTGATGACAGAAAGGTTTTGTACTCCAGGAAATTCCCATTGCAGTCCCACAAAAAGAAGCGGTGGACTAACCTTAATTCATTAGGCCTGAAGGCATGATTTAATAATGGATTTCTACTCACTTTGCATGGAACTTGGAATTCACCTTGGATTTTGATTTGAACCACAGTAGCATTTTTATGGTAGGTAAGCATTGTTATTTTAGTGATAATAATGGAAAGATTGGTTTTTGAACGGAAAAAAAACATCCAGAGTTTGCTCAAGCCCCGGAGTTAAAATGCAAGAAATACTTGGTTGTTTTATTCGTAATAGATATGGTAAATTACTACAAATTGTCTAACCTGAGCGGCAATCAGAATAATAATAAAGTCTCCTGTTTTTATTTTGCACAATTTGCTTACTGTGCCCATTATGAAAGTGCATCTTTTCCTCTTCTGGATCCTGCTTGGCTTTGCTGTAGCCACACCGCCTAGAACAAAGTGAGCCACAGTTAGCCACATCTAAAAATAGTGAATCTAGTACATAACCCATGGAGCAATGAATGCTACTGAATTTTCTCAACCCAGAGCCAAGTCCCATACTAGTAAAAAAAAAAATAGACCAACACTAATTTGGAATGGAACTCACTTTTCAAGCTGCTATTTTAGATGCTCAACAAATAATGTTCTCTAGATTCAACTGTCTTAAGCCATCTAAGTCTGTATTTAAGGTTATTTCCTCATACCACACACTAGTCCTCTTCTCTTTTCTTCTTCATTTATTTCTAGCCAATTTGCCACTGCCTTTTCCAGCCTTGATTGCTTAACATTTTTCTCTGGTTCGATATTCGACTGAAACATTTTGGTCTTTTCTTTCCTTCCTTCTTTCCTTCCTTCCTTCCTTCCTTCCTTCCTTCCTTCCTTCCTTCCTTCCTTCCTTCCTTCCTTCCTTCCTTCCTTTTTCCTTCCTTTCTTTTTCCTTCTTTCTTGTAACATGAGGGGGCTGGCCTGTTTGTTTGTTGGGGTTTTTGTCCTCCCACCAGGGCCCCCACAATGTTTAGCCCCAAAGAAAATTATACATAGGTCTCCATAAAGCATAAACTGATTGGCCCATTAGCTCTAGCCTCTCACTGGCTAACTCTCACACCTTAATTAACCCATTTTTTGATCTATGTTAGCCATGTGGCTCAGTACCTTTTTTAAGTGGGCAGATCATATCCTGCGGTTTTGGTGGTCTGGGCAGGGCTGGGAGGAATCAACTTCCTCCTTCTCAGAATTTTCCTGTTGTTATTACATCATTTTTTACTTTCTGTCTGTTTTTCCCGCCTATATTTCCTGCCTGGCCAATCAGCTTTTATTTGTAACATGACTGACAAAATACAGACAATTCTCCCACATCACTTTCCTTTATCTCTCTCTTTTTTCTTTCTTTGCTTCTTTTTTTTTGTTTCCTTCCCACTTTTTTGTTCCTTTACTATAGTTTCTTCAGCAACTCTTTTCAATCATATATATTCAGAGTACTCTGTAATTCATCAGAAACCTGTCGTCTTACCTCTTACCTCCATCACCCAAATCGTAGTCTCTGGTTTTTCTTAACTAGACAATAATTTGGAAGATTTTGAAAACTACTCTCATTCTGACTTCATTTACAGTTCACAAATGATAACTTCTAATTTAGTGATTACATATTGCTTTTAATTATTAAATTGACTAAGATCCTTTTTCTCCTTTTTTTTCGATGCCTTTCTTTTCTCTATGCTTATGAATAGATATTTTCTAAAATCCCAAGCAAAGATCTTTGCTATTCCTTATTCTATCCAATCATTTACATCCTTTACTATAAAAGCTCTGAGTTAATTTCTTGGAAAGGTCTATTCTTACCTCTTAAATATTGCTTTTATTGAGATGTTCTAGGGCCAATCAAACTCAATGGACCTAACATATAAACTTTTACTTTTTTTCAACAGTTTTCATTCTGCTTTCTGTGGCCATTTTCCTAAAAATTTGAGCATTTTTTTATGTTCTTTAGTTGTTAAATCCCAAGTTCTATACAATATGCATCCTAAGTCCTGTCTCCACAGAACCTCAGCCACTGCATCAATAATGTCTTTGTACTTATTATCTGGAACTCTGTGCCTTCAGAACAATATCTATCTATTCTATAGCTTATTTCCTAAAGTATACTAACTATTTTTTAATTTTTATTTTAGATTATTTTATAGTTACTTTCTATGGATTCCAGATTATCCTGGACCTCACTATGTAGTCCAGGCTGGTATCTAACTCACAGATATCCTCCTGACTCTTCATTCAGAATGCTAAGAATAAAGATGTGTACCACTTTCTGCTGACTCTCCAAATCATACTAGATTATTTTATTGTCAAAGCATATTACTTAACATATTTTTTATTGAATGATCTTACTACACAAAGCCTTTAATAAAATAATAAGTATTGACTATATCTTGCATCCTTTTCAATATTTTATTTTTTTGTCCTAATACAGATTAACTGAAAGCTCTGCATGCTTTCATACATTTGAACTTACTTGTCTTTTTAAAAGTATATTCTCCCTAACAATGTCCAAATATTGTTTTTTAAAAATTTTAATTTATATATTTTCCCCCAAAACTGAAACTCAGGAAGTTCTACTTCTCACGATGTGAATCTTGCACTCTAGCACTCTACACTCATTTAAGTTTGATTTTCCTTCAGGATTTGTCAGCTACTTAAATGACAGAAACTAGTATTGATTTACAAATTTCATCAGTGGCCTAGTGTCTGATTCGGAGTTGGCATTCAACATAATTTACTGAGATGAATGAATCAATGAATGACTGGATGATGGCTTGATTGTGCCTACAAGATGACAGGCATTTGGAAGATGACTATGTTGATGAATACTGAGTTGATGTGATACATGATTTACCATATAACATTAAACAGTCAGAAAAAAATGAAAATATTTAAATTAATTTTCGTGAAACTCAAAGGAAGTGATTTTGCTATTCATAAGATCCCACAACAAAATTGAATTCAGTAAATACAAAGTTTCATTCATTACTTCATTAAGAAAATGGAACCAGAATGACTAAGTATTTCATTACAAATTTAGTTGATGATTATTGTATGTATAGGTACAATGTCAAATAAAGCTTTACCAGGATTGCACTTTGGTTTTGTAATGAGAATATTTAAAATGATTTATATATTTTATTATAAAAACAATACAGGGTTTGTTTTGTAGTTTCCTAGTGGCTATTCAAACAGATACAACACAATGCTAAACACAGTACATCTTGATACCACCTTTTTAAAAAGTAGAACATTGTTGTGTTATATAACTGGAAATTAAATAGTATAATACACCTGAAATTATTTTGGAGAACTGAAAGTAATGATTAAAATATATTGTTTTTAGAAAAAGAGAATACACTTGAGAGAACTGGTGTATTTTAAATACTATTACTAACACTTTATATATTTCTTATTCAAGAGCTCTTAAGACGTTTCACCTCGCCACATTGCAATAGATAGAAAAGTGTAGACACAAACACACAAAATTGTACTGAAATAGAATTTTGTCTATTCCAGATAATATGTGCTATTTTACCTCATTGTTCCTAGTTTTCTAGGTATTGCGTATTTCTTTTTATCTCTAATGTAGGTGACTCAGGAAAGCAGTTACTGCTGTGTCTTATCAACAGTGCTCTAAACACAATCACATCAATTTATCCTGAGGTTTGTGTTATCTAAGTAATCCTGTCAAAATTGTTGCAGAAATTCTAAGGAAACCTAAAAGGCTTATGATTCCTTATAGTTTACCTTAGCAAACAATCATCCATTTCCACTCTCGAAACTCCCACTTGAAAAGTATATACATAAATAACAACCTGCCAAAACTACATTTTAAATAACTTTTACTATTAAATAAGCTTTACAGATATTTAAAATGGAAATAAAACTTCAGATCTTATCTGAAAAAAATTTGGAACACATTGGTGAGGAACAGTTAACATTTTATTACCTGGAAATGAAAGTCAGGGGGATCATACAAATGGGGTTAAATCTACGCTATGTGTATCTCTAGAGTTCTGTAACATATACACTGCATGTCACATTAACACATAAAATTAAGTTCTGGAACCCCTAAAGCATCATTAAAACAAGCTTCAACAAGGCAGAGCCAGTGAAGTGCAGCAGGCAGAAGCTGGCATTCCGTAGTGGTTCAGCCTCATTAACAAAACTTTGCATAGAAGCATGTTCAGTCAATATCATCTTATCTACCTGTTCCAAATGCATAATTTTCACTAGTCAAGTAGTCAATGAAGATGTTACTCCACATATAAACTGTTCTCCCTATGTTCCAAAAATGTTATTTTTTCTTGAACAGAGAAGACACTTTTTATTTTCCTTCATATTACTATTTTGTTAAGCTTCGAAATGATTTCCATAGTAGTATATGAAGTGTTTGTTTTTACAGGGACTATCTGTTCATGATTCTCTTTCTTTCAAGAAAAAAATATTCTATTTCTGTAACCAAAATGAGCTATTAAGTAGCCACATTCATTAATTAATGTTCATTAAAACTCCCAAAGAGGTGCTTGTCACATAAATATAACCATGACTCTACATGGATTTAGAAAACAAAACATTGCTTTCTTTCTTTCTTTTTTTTTTTTTTTTTTTCGAGACAGGGTTTCTCTGTGGCTTTGGAGCCTGACCTGGAACTAGCTCTGGAGACCAGGCTGGTCTCGAACTCACAGAGATCCGCCTGCCTCTGCCTCCCAAGTGCTGGGATTAAAGGCGTGCACAACATTGCTTTCTTTACCCATCCTAAGAATCAAGATTCTTATAGTTATAGGTATTTTGAAAATTTGATTCTAGCCATTAGATCTCTAGTTGGACTTTAGAAAACCCATAACCCATGAACAGACTATACACTCATCTATGTAAGGATGAAAGTATTAAAGAGTAAGTTTTTCTGGTTATAAATTAATAAATTTCAGATATAAGTATAAGGCACTCCAGAGTACCAAGCAATACACTGGATCAAAGAATTATTAATGGCTCTCTTATGGCTAATGAGAAAATGGTTGGTGAATGGAATAGTGAAGAAAAAAATACAAATTCTGGTTATAACAGCAGCTTTCATACAATCAGGGTATCCTATTATCTTAATATATAGTGATATATTATGAACTTTTTTTTCAAATTGACTAATGTTTCATGGAATACAGTAGTGTATGGAGAGATAGTTTGGATTCTGATTTTAAAATGATTTAGGGTGTGTATATTTCTTTATCATTCTTTTGTTTTGAAAGTTAACTATAGTGTGCTTTTGTTGAACTTTATGTCAAAACTTTTAAAATCTTAACAATTTACAGAAGCCTTAGCATTTATGTCTTCTTCAGAGAAACTGCAGAACATAGTCTTTTTTTTTTTTTTTTTAATTTTTGAGACAGGGTTTCTCCGTTGTTTTTGGTTCCTGTCCGGGAACTAGCTGGGAACTAGCTCTTGTAGACCATGCTGGCCTTGAACTCACAGAGATCCACCTGCCTCTGCCTCCAGAGTGCTGGGATTAAAGGCGTGCGCCACCACCGCCAAGCACAACATAGTCCTCTAAAGCCAGGTGTCACTATACAACCCCATACTGTCCTGAAATTTGCTAGGATAACCAAATGGCCCCAAACTCACAAAGATCCATTATCCTCTTCCTCCAGGGTGCTGAAATTAAAGTCTGCCCACCACACGTTTTTCCTGAGATAATAATGACCCTAATCTTTGTACAATGTTCAATTTAGAAAAAAAAAATTATCGCTGCAATCATAAAAAGGTGAAGGCACATCATTTGAGTAAATTTTTGGATTTTGTACTTTAGGAGTCTATCAAATTAAGTCAGGCATTTGGGTGTATGCATTTAGTCTTAGCAATGGGATTCTGAAGCAGGAGGAACTCAATCAGTCACAATCATCTGGGGTACATAATTCATTCCAGGTCAGTCTGCACTGCAGAGTAAGACCATTCCAGTGGGTAGAGTTGGGAACATACGATGAAAAGTGTTATCCACTTAAACACAGATGTTTTACTTATCAATTCAGAATATCTACTAAACACTGGGTGGGTAAACTTTTTTTATGGGATAACATTTTTCAATAAGTGTATGGTAAGGGGAGGGAAGAGTGCATGTAAATGGTTTATTGGACATTTAGGTTGTCTTACTAGCAGAACATTATGAATCCCATCCATATTTTTTTTCACAAATATACAAGGAAGCTATGATGCCAAGATCTCTGTAGACAGGGACATGTAAGCTACAAATACAACTCATCAAAACTTCTCATTTTTACTTCTCAGGAGAAATGTTTTTACATGGAAAATTAGTCTTCGTAACTATGGGAATGGCACAATGAATATTTTATCAAAAGGGCTTTGCAAATATTGTATATGAGGTTTGATGTTTTGTTCACTTAGCCAAAATATTTTTTTGTGATCACTAATAATAGAAAGTTGAAGACATTCGTAGTTTAATCTAATGATTACTTATAGTCTCACTGTTGAATTAAAATTTAATTCACTTAGAATTTTAATATAACAATACATTCATAATGTCTGATATAGGACTGTTTTCACATTTATACAAGGTTTATACACCTATTCCATGAAACTTGTAGTTAATACATGAGAAAGAAGGTAGTTGTGTTGAAAAGTTAAGATGAGGATTTATCAAAGAATTCATGATCTTTTCAGATTTAAAGTGTGAGCCCCGTTTCCACACACACGAATTTTACTAATGAGCAAAACTCAGTTATTCTTAATAATGTTAAATTACTACGTTGGTTATCAATGCCATCCCTGACTCAGTAGCTAATGCTCTTGGTGCTCCTCTGGACAAACTGCTCATATCCAGAACTCATTGGATCACACACAACCACCATAACTCCATCTCCGGAGCATCCAGTGCCTTCCTCTGGCTTCCATGGCCACCTACATACCCTTAACAAAGTCACGTTCAGACACACAGATGAAATAAAATTTAAATAAATATATTTTTAAAAAGCTGCTATGTAATCCTCTATTAAGCATTTAAACTGACTTTTATTGAAAATTTTGACTACAAATGAAAATAAAACACAAATGTGACTATAATCTACCAAATAAATGTCTAGATTACTTTATAATCTAGCTCACTTTGATGTAGGAGTCCCTCTAAAGGAAATAATAGAATTCTGCTGCCCATCCTAACTAAAAATATTAAAATTATAAGCTGACTATATATTTAAATTTTGTTTTGTTTACAAATAGTTAAGGTTATCCCACTTGGACATTGAATCTTAAATATATATTCGGTGGTATCAAAATAGGAATATCACTTCAAATATAAGAAATAATTGTATTCCATTTTAATTCCATTGTATTTTCTCATCAAGGCCACATGTATCCGTGATATTTACGATGATAGAAGACTGTGGTCACATTATGGACATTCCATGGTTCTAGGAGACAGAATAGGTGATTTTACTTGGACAGAAGTAGCATTGTACTTCCACGCATGATATGGATTTTGTTGAATGGAACAACAAAAACAGTGACATGTTAAATATGACAGATGCTGTATTCCTTGGAATTCCTACTTCAAATCAGAACCACTGGAAAGCCTTGTAGAAGAAGCACAGATCTTGATAGATACCTTGACTCTGTTCGCGGTATTTGATTTAAAATGACCCATTATCAAATAATTATTTAGGAGGTTCTATTTGGAAATGAGGTCCATCTACTCTTGTCACCTTTAAAGTGTAGCTGGTTTACTAAACTTGTAAGATATACACAGATAGAGAAAGTAAGCGAATGCTGGAGGTAGTACATAGAGGTGGACATCACTCAGGAGTGAAGCGGGAGGGAACACTAACCATATTAGGCTTGGATGGGCAACAGCGCACAGGGAAGAAGCCCGTCCACAGCCACACTCGCAGCAACTGAAAAGCAAACAAGAGAGCCCAAGATAAGGAAGCGATCCCACTCCCTCAGAGCAGCATAAAGACACTGTGGGTTTCCCTCAGTTGTCTGCTTTACTTTTCCAAGATATAAATTCCTACACATATACAATCAATTTTTTTTCAAGGTGCCAGTTGACTTAAGACATCTATCAGAACAAGAAGTACAGAGCTGTTCTAAGTGGCTACTTTTACTTTACTTAACACTGTTACTCAGTAGGAAACATAACGAGCCAATATGTTTGAATTGATTTTATTCAGTTACTATAACATGCAAATAAGGATATGCAAAATTAAAAGTATTTTATGAATTCCCTCAAAATTATATTTTGAAGACATGAGTAGCTATTTATTGACTGGTTTTGTAGGTAGCCTCAAGTTTCGACTGAGAACAAGGTTTTACCCTTTCAATCCACTAATACCTTTGTCAGTGCAATTGCTTATCAAAGACTATTGAAAATGTCATGCTAGGACACTCTAAAATAACTTTTGGAAGACCATCAATTTTAATTTCCATTTTTGGATGTTGAAAATTCAATCCTAACTGTATAATGTCAGATTATAGCAATATCGAAATAAATTATAGATAGTGCATCATTTCTGGGGATATTGCAACACTCAAAATTTCTTTTAATTTTCCAAATAGTGATAGGAAATGTCAAAAATATGAAGTAAATTATTTAATAAGATGCATTTTATGGGTAGAAACCATGTAAACATACGGCAGAATGCAGCAGAAAAGTGATTTAGTGCTTCATTTATTTGTATGAAGAGCACATTTTAGTAATTTCTGGAGACCTGTAATGGTACTCAGTAATGGTATCGTATACCAGCCAGTCAAAGCTTATGATTCAAATCTTTCCGTTTGAGTCTTACTCTTCTTGAAATATATCTATTGTATTTTATATGAAATTTAGAAAGGAAAATAAAGACAATCTCCAATATATTTCCAAATGCCTATGAATATAGATAAGCATGTCTGGAAACAACCCCAATGGATTCTCCCCACAAGAATATTCAGGTCCCTATGTTTTATTTTCTCCTCCTTCTTCTATCTTTTCTCTCTCAAACCATCATGATACATTAATAACAATTATTGATAAATGTCTCAGTATTCGGTTATCACTTCATAAGAAAACTGATAGTATAAAAATTCTTTTAAGTGTAAATATCCATGTATTTTTATAATGAGCTCAAATTATATTTACATAAAATCACAGTTATACAAAAAAATTAAAGTACTTCCTTATTTGGGCAGATTTTAATGTCTTTGTATTTATAGCAATGTTCTGAGATAGCTTCATCCCATCTCAATGATGGGGAAACTAAGGCGTTGGATGTCTAAGTTATTCCAAAGCAAATATGAATTTATGGAATACCCAAAATTCAGATCATGTTGGTGGATCCACTCTTCCCATTCCTGCCTAGAATGCCACGTAGTCTTCCAGTGCAGAGATGAGAATCTCGTGCGAGTAACTTTCCTATTTTACTGCCTTGTGTCAGTACTCAGATTACAGGTAGAAGAACACTGCTTCAGGGCCCAGGCGAGTCTATCAGCCCAAGTCAAGTACTGTTTTAATGAAAGATGTCACCTTCGCTATATGTGGCTCTTATTTTATTTTATTTTGCTAGTACAAAATAGAGTGTTATAGAAACTTATGTAGTGATATTTAATTCCTATTTTAATAAATAAGCCTTGCCTGAACATCAGAAAAGTAAAATAGCCACACTGGGCAGCCTTATAGACCAGGCAGCAATGACACACACCTTTAATTCCAGTAGCCACACTAGCTTGCTATAGAAACCAGGCAGTAGTGGTACACGCCCTTAATCTCAGAACTAGAGAGGATTATAGAACAGGAGGAGACAGCTGTCAGTCTCATTTTGATGTTTCCTGGAGGCAGGATCATCATTTTGGACTGAGGTTGAGATAAAAACCTGTGACTGGTTATTTTGCTTTTCTGGTCTTCAGGTTGAACCCTAATATCTGTCTCTGGGGTTTTACTTTATAGATTTAATTATTACAAAGTGAAACAATATCATCGTGGCTTTGTAAATTTTTAGAGTGTTGTTTTCTGAAGATGATGACAATATCTACATTTTGTTTCTTCTACACTGAAAATTTAAATTCAGTAATATTTTCATATAATTGCTGTTAACAATACAATTACAATATTTACATATATCGGCTAATAAAGAATTGTTTATATGCAGTAATTGTACATATACAGTACAACTCAGCAAATAAAACTAAATAGCAATTAACTGAAGCAAAGCTATCCAGTTAATTTTAGTAGACAAATGATGATGTAATTTCTCCCTAATCTACAACTATCTCAATGAAAAAGGTTAATAAACATACTTAGAATTGTGCTTAAGCTTAAGAATGCTTCAGCAGCCAAATGTGATTGTACATCATCAATAATCAGAGTTCTAACAACAACAACATCAACAACAATTATGTCATGATCCTAGCAATCGCAGAAAAGTTTTATTTAGTGCTCTTAGGTATAAAACTATAAGTATATTATGAATTAGAAGCTATGCCTCTCTTTTCTCTTCTCTCTTTTCTACTCCCATGCGGTTCACTATAAATTGTATTCCTGAAAATCACAATTCCCTTCCACCATCATTATAATTTTACTTTGTTTTAGATACATCTAATAAAATAATTAAAAATGCAGAAAACATGTACACAGGTTTCCTGGAATCATTGCTTCAAATATTTGACTTGTTTTAAGATGGCAGAATAGATGGATGGGTAACTAAGTTACACTGTCTGTGTCTAGGCAACAGCTATGGAACTGTCCTAATTCACAGGTTTCTTTCAAAATAGAGTGAGCGGGTATGTAAATAGGACTTTGATAAACTAGGACTTCATTGGGACAAAGTAAATGTAATTAATTTTAGCAATATCATAATTAATGTAAAAAGATCCTTTTATAAAAGAGTAATTATTTTCATGATGCATATACTATTGCCATATTAAATAGTCACATTATAATATAATTGAATACTTTTTAACTACATGCAGACATATACAAAGAATGGTCAGTGTAATTTTTTTAAAATTTCTACAAAATACGTTTTGTAAGGATTTAGAAATGAAAGCTTTTTTGTATTCACATTATTAAAAGAGCTGAGGTTTTGTTTCTATGCATATTTGAAGCAGATAAATAACTAACGTAACTCCATAAACTAGTCTCTTAAAATAAATTCATAGAAGTTTGTCAGAAGGACACTCCCACCAGGTGGTAGAAAAACATATGTTTTTTTATTCAATAAATATTCCAGAAAAGGCAGGTTGGAATTCAAGTCTTTAAGATGGTTTAGAAATTGAAAGTCAAATGTGCTGGAAATAGCAGCCAATAAAATTTCTGAGCGCAAAGCCTGAGCATAGGGACATCAGCATTCCTGGCAGCTCTTAGCACCTGGAACTCCACAAGTAACTACTGGCAGTTATAGCAAGATGATGAATTTCCCATACATATATACATGGTGTGTGTGTGTGTGTGTGTGTGTGAGAGAGAGAGAGAGAGAGAGAGAGAGAGAGAGAGAGAGAGAGAGAGAGAGATTTCATGCACACCTGTGCCCGTGTGAGCAAAATAATCTTGCTGCCATAGAAGCAGGTGATTATATATTCTCAAGGGAAGAGATCCTCAAGATACTAGATCAGAAAAAACAAGACTAGAGACTATGAATGCCGAAACATGTAAATTCTCAAGTAAGAAATCCTAAGAAAAACAAAGGCAGCAAAAGAGCCAAGTTCACAAAAGCAATTGTTGGACAGCAACTGTTTTCAGCTTAGTAGTAAAATAAAAAAGGTTGAATCATTTGCTCTTTAAGAATGACTCCACAGTGAGTAGGGGTGCTCTGTCCTGGAGAGAATCTAGTGCAATTATTGGATCGATGACACCCTGCTTACTTTCAGTAGGGTTCACATCTTCAATTTTTTATTGAGATGGGATAATAAACTAGGAAGACACTATCCCAGATCACTCTGAACACCAGCAGTATCTGGCAACCTTGTTACTAGAATCCTAAATATTGGATAAAAAAAACAATCCTCTGTGTTGAGAATGTCTGCACTACTATTGCAATATATAGTATGTATCTGAGAATCCTTTTCTAAGATTGGCCTTAGAACTTGTTATGACATTAAGGGGTCAACACTATTCACATCTTTCATTACCACTGTACTGGATGTAAGTGTCCTCCCTTCACACCCCTCTTTGTTGTTTAATTCTTTGTACCAGATTTTTTCAGACATTCTGATTTCCTTGACCCACTCTAACAGTTTAAGAAGTTTCATGAAAACTTTTGTTACAGAGCTCTCTTCCTGTTCAGGACTGTTTAAAAAGAAATGATTTAGAACACCAAAACAAACTTCCATAGTGTAGCTTCTACTGTAATTAAACAAATTTTGTTTTGTTGTAAAACGTTAGAAGAACATGAACTAGTTTGTTTCTGTTGCTGTGATGAAGCAAATATAAAAACAAATTTATTGAGGAAAGGGTTTGTTTCTGATCATAGTTCAGTCCATCGTTAATGGAAGTCATGATAGGGAGTAAAGACAGGAGGTACTTGGAGGTAGGAACTTAAACAGACACCATGGAGAAACACTGTTGGTTGGCTTTCACCTCATGGCTTGTTAGGTTGTTGTTGTTGTTTTTTTTGTTGTTGTTGTTTTGTTTTGTTTTGTTTTGGTAGAACTCAATATCATGGTACCACCTAGAGGGGCTGGATTATTTCACATCAATCATCAATCAAGAAAATGCTGCATAAATCCTACACTCATCCTGATAAATGCAATATCTCAATCTATGTTCCCTCCTTCCAGGATGTATAAAGTTGGCAATAACTAAACAGCATAGAGGGATCCCTTAAGCATCTATGCTCCATTATATTATGGATATGTATATGACAGAGATTATATCATGAAAACTGAGATAAAATGAATTGTACACAACTTAATAATTGTG